CATTTTGACCTCTCTCTCTCTCTCTCTCTCTCTCTCTCTCTCTGTATTATATATAAGTTATCTAAATTCTGTTTTCAGGTATATGCTCTTATCCAAACCACCATTGTACCTGGAACAGAATACAGGACCAAATTCCCTTCTCTTTGCCACTTTCCCAGGATTGTTGCAGGTATCACAGAAGGCAGCAAATGAAAAAAAGCTCTCAACCAAAAATATGAAGGGCTGAAGGACAGTTTTCCTGTTTATGAAGCAGAACAAATACTATTGTGATTTCTGGTACTACTAATAAATCAACTACAATGTACAAATGTGTTTCTCGTAACCTATCTCTTTTGTTCCTCACACAACCTATTAGTAACACTACTACCTATTAATATCCCCCAATTTAGAGATGGGAAAACTGAGATTCAGACACCCATGGGACTAGCCCAGGATCTCCAAGAATTAGAAAGTGATGGAGGTGAGACTATACCCCGATCTTTTAACTCTAAGTGTGATGAGCACTAATAATAATAATAATAATAATAATAATAAAGGTTTAACTTATTCACAATGCATCTGGGCTCCTGATCAAGTAAAATATGAGCCTTCTGTTGCATGGAGAACTGTAGAATTCAGCCGGTTATGAGCCAGAATTCTCCTACGCTGTTTAAGTTAGCTTGTTATTATTTTGGAACACTGCAATTCCCATTGTAACGATTTAACATTACTGACACACCTTTCATGCATATCAACTTTCCATTTTCTACCCACGTGACAAGAAAGAAAGCCAACTCCCATTGTGCAAACCTAGAACCCCTGCTTCTCATTAACCTCTTTCCACACTAAGAGGCCAGAGGCACAGTTGGGACCTGGTCTACAGTGGCAGCGCTGAGTGATGCCAAAACATAAATTATGATAATGTTGTTGCTTATGAACAGAACCACCCATTTAGACCAGGATTTTGGCATTGTTCGGACAGAGGCACATTTCCAACCTTACAATTAGATTTCCCCAGAGGCGTTGCCTTCAGTATTTACAAAAACCACAGAAAGCCCAGGAGACCCTCAGGACTCCTGTGAAGGTGAACAAATCATTCTTGGGGAGAGTGAAGAGAAGTTCCAGGGTAAAGGTGAGACCTGGAGGAACCAACCATCCCTCTAGGTCAAAGTTTCACTGAGTGAAGACACCCTGAGTGTCTCCCTTGGAGTCTAAGCAGACATATTTATTTAACGGGAGGAACACTTTTTCCCTCCTCAAGACACAGTGAGGTCACCTTAATATGAAAGGTATATATACCAGAGTATAAAATCATGAGTTTGGGAGAGCTTCCTTGATCTAAAACTCTATGATCCTATAACTCCCTCCTAAGCCTTTGCATTAAATTAACTTCCTCCTGATACAGCTACAAAAATACTGAATTGTCCAACAGCTGTCATATTTTATTTTGCCCGAGTACACTAAGAAACAAAGCCAAACAAATCTTTCAAGAATTCTTATTGAAATGCCTCAGCTACTGCTTTCCTGCTTATGCATTTCAGATACACATAAACAAACTCTCCTGTGTAAAGTTTCCCATGAAACAGAGCGGCCTGCAAATGCTGTGTAGGACATTTTCCCTTTTCCAATTCATCACGGGGCCAGCAGATAAAGTTAAGAGTGAATAAAGAATGGATAAACTGCACGTTTGGTTAGCAAAACACAAACAAAGTGTTCTCGGAACAAAGATTTTCTTTCAACCACGCCCACATAGGAAAGAAATCAAAGTATTACCCTAAGGAATCTTCTCTAACACACTCTAGTCAGTGGTTGCTGGTTGGGTTATGTATACATTACTTGATTTCTGTCAACAGAAAATGATCAGCAATAAATTGCTGGTACCAAAGACTGAAATTTAAAACCACAATTATGATATCCTATTAAAATGTCATCTCATT